CTTGGTCTTCAAGGTCCTCACTATATTGGGACCATCTCCAGATTTTCTGTGTTTATTAACCCTCAGCTGGACAGCTTGACTGAGGCAGTGGAACCAAAAGTGAAGACGGTAAGGGGTTTCTGTTGTTTTACCTGTTTGGGCCAATAGAAGAGTGAAAGAGAGAATGATGATCCAGATCAAAAGGTAAAAAACAAGGTTTATCTGTCCTTATGTGAAGGCAGCAGATATCTACTTGGCCTCCCCCATTCAAAATAATTGTGCATACTTTCTGCTGGTTTGGGTCATCAGTTTTGTATTAAAATTACTGAAAGATGTCTTACTACATATAGTTTACTTGTGGACTGCATTTTTATTGCTCTAATTTTGTTTAGAGGAAAGACATCATATGCATTTATTTAATTTACATAGAAATCTTCCCAAAATAGTTTTGCAAAGAACAGGGTAGATCAAATCTCTCAGTGACTAGGTATTTAAATGAAGACATGAGAGTATTACTGATTTATAACTAATAGTGTTTCAACTTAACTGCTCTTCAATAACACCCATAAAAAATGATATTAAAGTATGAAGAGTCATTTAAAAGATGAAGACTACTGAGAATAGTTCTATATACTTTTCTAGTTCTCTACTCTTTGCTTCTAATCCTTAATCCTATGTATGCACACGACTGCTAAATAAATGTACTGCTAAATAAATGTAAATGAGGGACTAAATACAATATTCCAGAAACAAAAAGATAGTTATGCAATAAATGAAAGAAAAAACTAGATAACAAATATATATTTGGAAAAATGTTAAAATTGCCATTCTGTACACTTTGAATATATGTATTTAAAAAACAACATGGAATTTTGTTATGAGAATTTAAGATAATTTTTAGAGAACATACATATTTGAAAAAGCAACATGATATTTTGTCAACAGAGTGTACAGTAATGTTGAGTTGAATGGATACTTTCAACTGAAGGGGGAATAAAAAGCTATTTTAACAGCTTATGGGTATTAACACTACCAGCTCCAAATTAAGCATACATTAATGGCATGGCATTATTCTGCTACATTCTGTATTTAAAATATCTTTCCAAGTATTATGTGCAGTGTAATAGATCATATATTGAACATACGATATTTTAGGGGAATACCTAACTGTGATATTAACACTGTATTTGGATTAAAGGATGCAAAAAACATTGTTAAAAATGATATGGTATCAATGTTCCTCATAAAAGGACATATTTCAGTCTTTTTCAACAGACTGATAGAAATATAATGCTGTTAAGCTCCCTAGAGTTTCAAGCACAATGTAGAAGGAAGGTAATTTACAAAAATAAATTTAGATCTATTTAAATACATTTCAAAAAACAAAGATATTCCCAAGAAATGGTCATATATGCCTTTCACAAAGTCTTACATGGTTCATCCTGAGTTTGAAGCAGGGAGTAGGAATTTAATAAAACATGTCATTTAAATCTGTATATTATGTCATTCTAAAGCAAACGTTTAACCCAGTTTAAAGTCCCAACCACCAGAATTCCATATACAATAGTGCCATGTATCCAGCTAGGAAGTAGCTGGATTCGGTGCCGTCTAGTTGCACCTTCACACCACAAGCACATAAGTACAGTTAATATCTAAGCTTTCAGCAAGAGTATCAGTTACCCTAAAAGTTACCTTCAAGATTAAATACCTTTAAATGCTGCAGCGCTCTGGATTTCCAGTTAACCAAACTATATTTCCAGCAGAAACTCATGGAGTATAGAGTAGTTCTTGTCTGTAAGCCCTTCCTGCTGGTCTTCTTAGGAAGCGGTGCTGGAACGTTTTATTGTTTTTAAATCCTGTTGATAATTTGACTCTCTGTCAACTAGTGCTGTCGACCCATCACTAGCCTTTCTTAGGATGGAGATGACTGGAAGGTTGAAGGGCTACAGGCCATACATCATCTTCCCCTTCTCAGTGTACCTTAGTATGAACAAGGCATCAGGACTCTGAGGAAAGGAGGGAGAGCTGAGCCATCATATATTCCACAGATTGCAGGCTTTCCCTCTGTCCTGCAGTGCTGGAGAAGGGGATTATTGCTGCAGGAAAAAAAATCTGGCCACACTGTAGAAATAATCACCGCAGTTCAGCTCGCCCCCCACCTCCCTCTGTTCTCTCTCTCTCTCTGTCTCTCCCTCTCTCTCTTTCTCTCTCTCTGTGCGAGGCCCCAGCTGATTCAGGCTGCATCCATCCATACATAAATCATTCCCCTTATTCTATTGGTTACATGGTACATGGCAAGTATTGATTTTTTCTGTTGCCTCATTGCTGGAGAACACTTGGTTTTTGTGAGACAGAAAAAGAAAAAAAAGAAAAAGAAAAAAAAAAAAAGGACAGACCAAACCAAAAAAAAAAAAAAAAATCCTCACTGGAGTTTAGTCTAGATAAAAAATAATCAGGCAGATTTGCACCATCCTAACGACAAGCGTGTTCCAAAATGAGCATACTTTGGGGAGGCCCTTTCCTATCTGTTTGCGTGTTCTTGCAGTATACTCTGTCTCAAAATAAAAAAGAACTGTTCCCAGTTAAGAAGAGATCTGGGTTCAGGAATTAAGAACAGCATACAGAGAGGGAGACGGTCTCTCATTGTGCAGGGCAAGGAGTCATCTAATTGATCACCATTAAACCAGGAAAAAAAGAAAGTTTAGTTAAAACACAGCTTGCTCTAAAAATAAGAATAAGGAGGCAAGAATAATGCCTCATGGCCAAATGACATGTATGGGACAGGAAGAAAGATGTTTCTCTAGGTTTATTTTGTGTGGTGATAAAATGTGCAAGTGTGCCTTGTTTGTGTGAAAATGTAAATATAGAATGTGCCTCAGCTGTCAAAATATTGTGTCTTCTCATACTTAGAGACAAGACAGAACTAAAAAAGTGAATTGGTCTTAGTTTAGGATTCTGACATTTGGGTATCGGAGATAGGGTGTTCTTCAGAACCTAAGTTAAAACACCCAAGAGTCTTAATGTATGACTTGTCACAAAGACCAATTTGTTTTAAAGTGATAGTGGCTCTTGGACTCAATCCAAAGGGGTTTTATTTCTGAAATATCAAGATGATTTCTTCATGAGGTAATTCGATCCAAAGAATCATTCCAATATACAAGGAGATTATTGTAATGAGGAAATCATTATAAGAAGGTTATAGAGCAAATATAAGGAGTGAAAAGACAGTAAAAAGCCCAATTTTAATTTTGTAAACCTATGTGACAATTGATAATCTAACAAAGGGTGAAGTTTAGGAACAAACACAGTTCAGCATGTACACAGGTGACAAGATATTTTCTTTTGGGTTCTACTTAGAGTCATCAACTAACAAATGTACCATGCACCAGTTGCAGATGAGAAGTAGTAAGGGCTTCTTTAACCTACTTTAAGGTTTAAAAGAATTCCTCCTAACCGGAAATATTTACTCTGCACAATAAAAAGAGTCTATTAAGTTAAACTGTCACTAACCTCAGAAGTCAGACTAGGATTTCCCCTCTTTTGCCTCACAAAACTGTGCTGGGGAATTCTTTTTGTTCTTTTCATCTGTCAGTTTACTTTGTGGCCATTGGTGCTTGGTTCATGTTTATGATAGGGTCTGCTCAATAGAAGATTCTGTGGAGCGGAGCTGCAAGGGGCATGTCCATGGGAGTTGTGGCCAGCCCTTCTGGGTGTGTGGCCCTTCTGGGCACAGAATAATACGTCTCTTTCTTCTTATTGTTAAGTTCATTTTATTGAAGGACTCCGAACATCTCTTTTTGTATAGAAGTACTAGTTTATCTAACTTGCCATTTCAAGGGAACCTCTGTGAATGAAAATGTGGAAGGAGTGAGACCTGCATGGAATTTTATCCAAATTAATGTTTTGTTGTGTTGTTTTGTTTGTGTGGCTCTTGTCCTTTTGGGTTCCAATTTAGATGCATGTTCTCTCAGTAATCTCATATCCACATACCAAGGAGAGTAAGATGCCTCTCTACCTTCCTACATGGTGAAGGAGTCCATAAAGGACTTAGAGCATTTTAGATTTAAAAGGGAAACAGACAAGAAAATAACAACAAAAGCTATAGGAAACCCTTTGAACCTGACCTCTTCCTTTGCTCTGCTTCATCCTTTCCTGATCCAACAACTTGAGCAACTGTTTATTGACCACTTACTGTGGACCAGGGATTCGCTGGAGCGAGCTAAATGCTGGTGCCCTATCCCAGCGCAGGGACCTATCCCAGCAAACATCCTGTGTCTAGGCTGCTGCCCAGCAGAGGCGCGTCTCTCACGTGGTGAGCCTTCGGCTCTGTCACTCCTTTGAGCTCTCTGTAGGCCGCTTCTCTAGAAAAGTCATATAATTACATTAAGTATTAATACCCTTTTATCTCCATTAACTGTAACAAGACTTAAGTGGCCAACACAGAGCCTTGCCTATAGCACATACTCAACAGGAATTTATGTTAATTTGAGACACTGTCAGTCCAAAAGGAGAGAGAATTATAATCAAAGCTAATGATTATTACGTGGTGAGGGGGTTAAAAGCATTGTCATGTAATTTTCACAACCCTGTTTCTAAATAACCTTATTTTATTCCCATTTTAAAGATGAGGAAATGGAGGTGGAGACAGGTCAATTGAGCTGCCCAAGCCTGCCCAGCTGCTAAATGGGGGAATTAGGTTTGAGACTCCTGCTTCTCTTACACACCACTCAGTCTAGAGGAGCAGTGGCAGCTGGCAGAGGCCCTTAAATTCCAACTGGGAGTCTTTTGAGAGAGGTTATGACCAGGAAATGGCTTCTGTGCTGGCCCTAAAGCATGTTGCATTCCATAATTTTTATACCTTATGGGTACGCTTTGACTCACCATAAAAAAAAAGGAAACATATTTAAAATCTTCTAGTGGGGATTACTATTAGAAGGAGTTTGTGTGTGTGTGTGAACCCTTTTGAACATAAATATATCTTTTAGATACAAAAATGTTTATCCTTTAAATTGTCTGTTAAGGCAGGTCTGGACATTCATGGATGGAATTTACCTAAGGTGAGGCTCACCTGTGGAAGTGACAGTGGCAGGCCCCAGCAAATGGGAATCCCAGGCAGAATTCAAACACTGCCTCTGAGCAACAGTGACTCTCCATGGCAAGTGGCAGGTATGCTCATTTGAATTCATAGGTTTTCTTTTTTTTTAATTTATTATTATTTAAAACATTTATTTTGTCATTTCCTTTTTTACTAAAGTATAGTTGATTTACAACATTATATTAGTTTCAGTTGTACAATATAGTGATTCAATATTTTTATAGATTATACTCCATTTAAAGTTATTGTAAAATATTGGGTATATTCCCTGCACTGTACAATATATTCTTATAGCTCATTTACTTTATACATAGTAGTTTGTACCTCTTAATTCCCTACCCCATCTTGCCCCTCCCCCATTCCCTCTCCCCACCGATAACCACTAGTTTGTTTTCTATATCTGTGAGTCTGTTTTGTTATATTCATTCGTTTGTTGTATTTTTTAGATTCCACATATAAATGATAACATACAATATTTGTCCTTCTCTGTCTGATTTATTTCACTAAGCATAATAGCCTCTAGGTCCATTAATGTTGCTGAAAATGGCAGGATTTCATTCTTTTTTATGCTGAGTAGTATTCCATTATCTATATCTATATCGATATCTATCTATATATATATCACATATTCTTTATCCATTTATCTGTTGATGGACACTTAGTTTGCTTGCATATCTTGGCTATTGTAAATAAAGCTACTATGAACATTGAGGTGCATGTATCTTTTCAAACTAGTGTTTTCTTTGGATATATACGTAGAAGTGGAATTTCTGGATCATATGGTAGTTTGGGGTTTTTTTTAATTTTTATACAATGTTTAGAGGTTACTTTCTATTTACAGTTACTACAAAATATTGTACAATACATCCTTGAACCTATCTTACACCCAATACTTCGTACCTCCCACTTCCCGACCCCTATATAGCCCCTCTCCACCCCACTGGTAACCACTTGTTTGTTTTCTATATCTGTCTGCTTCTTTCTGTTATATTCACTAGTTTGTTGCAATTTTTAGATTCCATATATGTGATATCATACAATATTTATCTTTCTCCACCTGACTTATTTCACTTAGCATAATGTCCTCCAAGTCCATCCATGTCGTTGCAAATGGCAAAATTTCTTTTTTATGGCTGAGTAATATTCCACTGTGTGTGTGTGTGTGTGTGTGTGTGTGTGTGTGTGTGTGTGTGTGTATCACATCTTCTTTATCCATTCATCTGTTGATGAACACTTGGGTTGTTTCCATGTCTTGGCAATTGTAAATAATGCTGCTATGAACATTGGGGTGTATGTATCTTTTCAAAGCAGTGTTTTTAGATTTTTGGATATATACCCAGGAATGGAATTGCTGGGTCAGATGGTAGTTCTATTTTTAGTTTTTTGAAGAACCCCCTCATACTGTTTTCTTCAGTGGCTGCACCAATTTACATTCCTACCAACAGTGTACCCTTTTCTCCACATCCTTGCCAACATTTGTTATTTGTAGACTTTTTGAAGAGAACCAAAACACGACTCTTTTAAAATTCTCTTCTAATCAAACACTGCCAGGCGAGACTAAATAAACTGTGAGGGAATATTCATCTGTAACATTATTTCCTGATCTTTTGAAAAATTTTGAGGTAGGAAGAAGTATAGTCGTGAAGCAGGTTGATTAGCTTGTTTGCAGCCAGTCCCTTAAAGGAGGAAGCCTGTTTAAACCTGTCCTGCCGGGACTAAATTAAGATTTTCCTGCCCAAGTGCCTTCCTTCCCAGTGCTCTTGGTCTCTGTAACACAGAGTGATTTACTTATAAAGCATTTATGCACGGCTTCCCTGGTGGCGCAGTGGTTGAGAGTCTGTAGGGGACACGGGTTCGTGCCCCAATCTGGGAGGATTCCACGTGACGCGGAGTGGCTGGGCCCGTTAGCCACGGCCACTGAGCCTGCGCGTCCGGAGCCTGTGCTTTGCAACAGGAGAGGCCCACGTACCGCAAAAAAAAAAAAAAAAAAAAATTTATGCAAGTATTGAGGGCCAAGAGGTATTTCAAGATGTAACAAATAACAATAATATTAATAATAATTATAGGGTTGATACTAATGTAGAAAAACATCATCAGGCATACATTTTCCTTCCTTTTCATTAAATCTCTGCCATTGCTTTTGGTCTTCTTAGTGCCCATCTGACTTACAGATTGGCCGATCTCCAGACCAAGATCCAGAAGGTACATTATGACAGTAGAAACCTGAGAGCACACCCCAATAAATCCTGCTCTCCAGCCATTTGCTTGGTCCCCAGCCTGCATCAGCAGTAGACAAATCCCAGCAAACAAGGGCTGTCCAAATTATCAGCACTCGTTTCATGGCCTGGATGGAAAAACAAAAGAGGTATGGGAGCCTATGAGGGAGAAAACCCAACCTATACCCTGTGTTTTAAAACTGGGCCAATAAGAACTAGGGAACGGTTATTTTACCTGAATTTATTGCTTAGCAACAAAGGCTCTACCTCCAGAGAATGCTATTCTGCGGGTTACCAAGTAACTGACTGTGACAATTACCAAACAGTTGGCTAAGTAATCTACATACCCTTTAACCTCTGCCAGCTGAACAAGGGACTGTGGGCAGCTCCCAAACAATAGACACACATTTAATATTTTATTGAAGAGCTGACAGAAGCCACAGCTGTATGGGTCCTGCAGCCACATAGATTTAACTATTTTAATTTGGACATCTGTCTTTCCAGGATCTGCTGTGCTCAAAGGGTTGTTGAAGCAGGGGAGACACCAGAAACAGTTTCTATCAGAAGACTACCTTGTAGAGCTTTGGGGGAAAATATTTCTTAAACACAAAGTGCAAAGTTTTGTTGAGAATGAAGGCCCCTCAAAGATAGTCATTTAGAGAAAGGCAAAACAAAATCTGGTGCTTCGCAGTTTCTTATTGGTAAATGCTGAGTTGGCCTGGCTACAGAATATAACATGTACACAATTGATTAGAACCTTCCAGCACTCTTAGATGTAGACAAGTGAGTATCACCATTTTATGTTATTTAGTTATTTTTATTACTCAAATATTCCCAGGTGGCCTTTATTTCACAAAATTATTTCCATTAAAATTATTTCCTATACCACTTTTACTATATGATCCTATTCAAATGAAAATCAATTGGCAAATTCACAAATTATACACTTTTAAGTCATTTCTTCTACTTTGACGCTGTATACATCAGCCAGCATCAGTGCCAAAGACTGAGTCAGTGAATTCCTAATGCTCTTCCATTAACCTCGACACGGACTTTCACGTTAGGTCAAGTATCCATTATACCAAAGCAGCTTCTGAATCATATGTCACCTGGCCCAGGTGGAGGCTTAGATGTTCTTGTGTGGTTTCCCCAGCCCGTTACTAAATTAATTAGCCAGTCTCTGAAGACTGTGGCCTACATGGGATGAAGTCTACTGTCATGAAGGATGATGGAAACCCCCCCCCAAAATTTTAGGAAATAGGGTAAAAATGAGGAAAACTTCTGCATGAGACCTGTATTAATTTTCTGTTACCACAAACTTAGTGGCTTAAAACATCACAATTTTATCCCTTTACAACTCTACTGGTCTGAAGTCCAGTGGGCTAACCTTCAAAATGAAGGTGTCGGCCAGGTTTTTTTCCTTCTGGAGGCTCTGGGGGGAATCAGTTTTCTTACCTTTTCCAGTTTCTAGAGGTCACCTGCATTCCTTGGTCTGTGGTCCCTTCATCTTGAAACTAGTGACAAGTTGTTGAGTGTTTCTTGTAAGTCTCTTCAGTCTTTGTCTCCCTCTTCTACTTTTAATCCTGGATTATCTGGGTAGGCCCAGTCAAATCATATTAAGTTCAGCTGGTTAGCAACCTTAATTCCATCTGCCACCTTAGACTCCCTTTTGTTTTATATCACAACAAATTAACAGGTTCCAATGATTAGGACTTGGAAAGGGAGGGAGGGGCACGGGGGCATTATTCCAACCACAAATCTGAACAGTTTACGTTTGTAGAGCTGAACACACAATTTTTAAGGGCAGAACTGTGTCTATATGGCACATACTTTTGATGGGCCGGTCGAGTTGCAGAAAGGTGGCCCCAGGGAGGGGCCTAGTAGGCTAAGGCAAAACAGCAGGAATCACCCCAAGGAATAAAGTGGTTAAGAATCACGAGGTCTGGGGAACAGCTGGATAAAGGCAGTTATAAGGAGGGAAGGACATTGCCATAGGAGGAGGGTCAGTCAGTGAGCAATTCCCAAGGCAGAAACAGCCAACAAGTTCGACAACAGCATTGTTACATATTCAACTAAGACCTTGGCTGTGCTTACATACCAGACCTCCCCCACCCACCTCTCCCAGATTCTGAGTAAAAATCCAAAAACCCGCCTTGTTCCAGTTGAGACAGGCTGTGTTTTACTCGGAGTCAACAAATGAAGACGACGTGGGAAATCACATCACAAAAACTTGCAGACAGCTTGAGGAGGGCCCAGGACGTGGGGGGAAAGGCAGAGGGGTGCCTCGAGACAATGTTTATTAATTTGCAAAAGGACAGAGGCCCAGCTAACATCAGGACTGCTGCAGGGCAGGAGCTGTCACTAGAGCAACAGTGGTCTGCACCTAGGAGAGCAGCCGGGACAAGGCTAAGTTCAATCTGAGGACACTTGGCATCTTGCCGTCTTGGCTGCCCAGCCTTCTCTGCTTAGACCCTGCTTCAGGAACAGACTTTAACAAACCTTCCCAAGCCAAGTGGAACTCTTCAGCCACATTGAGCAAGAAAGTCAAAGTCTATCACACACAGACTGAAGATACTGAACAACAAGAGAGGAAAGGCCTGACCACCACACCCTAATGAGAGCTACTACTGTGGGGACAGGCTGGGGACAATCGCTCAGCCACCCTCCAGAATCACCCAGTAGGTGTCTGAGCACAATCCTTCCTGACAGCCGAGCAGGCCCAAACTGCAGTGTGATCTCTCAGCAAGATAAAAACGATTAGAGAGGGCTTCCCTGGTGGCGCAGTGGTTGAGAGTCCGCCTGCCGATGCAGAGGACACGGGTTCGTACCCCAGTCCAGGAGGATCCCACATGCTG